TTTTTTTTTTTTTTGTATAGAAAGAGGTGATAATAGTGTGGTGTGTTTGCTTGGAACTACTTGCCTCACAATTGTGCTTTCATGCCATAGTCACCTTAAAGCATGGTGCTTCCATTGCCCCTTTAGTGACTACAGGTTTTAGCTTTGTCTCGTAACTGAATGATGGTTCCTTTGCACCGTTCGCTGTATTAGAGTAGTTAATGCATGTTACTGAGTTATTTATGCAAGTTGCATTCTGTGAGTGAGTCCCTTTAGAACACATTGCCAACAACTGACTAGACACAATGCCAAGATTAATGTCTGTATTTGAGAAACACCACCAAAAACACTAATGAAGGAAGAAAATGGCCATCTGGAAAGTAAGCAGTAGAGTAGTATAAGCAGCTTCTGTTTAATCTTTAATTTATTATAAACCCAAGAAGCACTTCTCTCAAGACACAGAAACTCACTGGGACACGTAATGACAAATGGTCTCTGTAGCACCTGTCTGTTCCCACTCGGTACATTCCAAGTCTGTGTCCTACTTGTTTCCATTTTAGACAGAGCCATAAGTTTTACATACCAATGCCATTGCCACCCCTGCAGGGATTTCTCCACCTGGGCAGTAGTGCTCTCCTTCTGCATGAGATTTTTGGTACTTACAGATAATCCAAGTTGCTGTCGGATTTTTAAAGTTTTTGTACAAATTTTTTCCTTTGTAATCACATGCATTTTTACTTACTCTACCGTATCAAGATCTACTAGTTGTGGTTCAATTTCTGAATTCAAAGCTTGTGAAATAAAGGAAATTAATGGTAAGCGTCTTGCTCTGCTTTCCAGTGCTGTGACTCAATTATTGAAAATTTGGAATGGAGGAACTCAAGAGAAAATGTCTTTCAGGCTGACATCATAAAATAGAAGGAACCTCCTTAGATCACAGGTGTTGATAAGTGTATAGGTCTGCATATGCATATTATAGCATGATATGTCTTATTTAAAAGTGCTCACAGTAAAAATTTATTTACTAAAAATTGTACTTACTATTGACTAAAATGTATTTATTAATGGTTGGATTCTATCTTAGAGTTCTTTTCCAACCTAACAAGTCTGTGATTCTATGACATCGCAGCTGCCTCAGTTTTGCCCAAATGAGACACAAAATAACTTTCTCCCAAAGACCTTCAGATCTCCATGTTGTTTGCCTAAAAGTGGGTAATTCACTGCTGTCATCTTCATCTGTACTACAGAAACAGAAGCAGTACCCAGTGCTGCAATTTGACCTAAGCCATATTGGACTTCATTATGGTTTTCTCTGCTGACTGAGCTGTGTCCAGGCATGGCAGGAAAAGAACGTGCTGCAGGTAAGGTGAGGGAAGCAGACTTCAATTATCTGAGAGTGAAGGAAGTATTTATCGTGTTTCTGACTCTCACAAACTGCTAAGAAACCTTGTTTCCTGTCACTTTTTGCTTGTCTGAGGTGTTACAGATGCTGTGGTGGGTGTGGGCTGTGGTGGAAGTGGGGTGCTGTGAGATTAGCAGGTCAACAAACCCCTCCCCTTGTGCTACTTTGCCTTTATCCACACTACAGAGCTGCAGCAGGAAAAGTCTTGCAGCAGTGGGGTGCCACTGGAGTGGTTTTATCAGCTGTGCTGCCTGACCACTGAGCACCCATCCATCCCACCCATGCAGCAGTAACATGGGTGGGCACAGCTTGTGTGGGGCATGCCAAGTGCACGTGAGCCATAACAGTTTTGGGAAGTAGCCCACCTGAAGCCTGTCATTCTGAAACTAGTATACTGTCATCTCCAGCTTGCCTGGGAAAGGAATCACTACCCTGGAAAAATCCATTTTGGTCAGCTTGGTCTGGAACCTGGCAGCAGAGCTGGTCTGAAGAGCCAGCTTTTCCTCTAGCTTTGAGCTGAACCAGTGCAGAAACACTGCAATTCAGTCTGCAGTGAACTGAATTACTTGCTCCCAAAAAAAAAAAAAAAAAAGGAAAATAAAGCTTTTCATGAACAATTCCTTCTGCTAAGAATTCAAATTCATGTTTCCTATTGCCTGGAGCATGCCCTCATCCTCAGGCTTCCTTGCTCATTTGGTGGTTCAGATATTTAATGATACAAATTAAAAGAAATTGTTCATTTGGCAGTTCAGATTTTTTATAGGAAGTAAAAAAACAGTAGCAGAGAAGCCTGGGGACAGTGTGCCCTGGAATAACCCACAGCCTAGCAGGTAAGGCAATCCTGAAATGCCAAATCTCCATCTGCCTTGTCCTATTCCAACCCATTTGCTCTGAGTGTTGACAGCCAGCAACAGTTGCAGTGATGTAACCCTGACAGTAGAAATACAGCTGGTTTGTGAAGTTATGTGGCGAATTTGACAGCCTAAATATTTTGGACCTGCTGGTTACAATTTCCCTCTTGCATTTCTTGCATGTTTTTGTGCAAGAAGCAGTGATTGCTCACCTCCAAATAAAACTTCCACTCAATGTATGAGGCTTGTCACATTTGAGGTAGCAGAAATTATCATTGTGTAACTCATGTTGAGATTCCACTTTTCCTACACATGTAACAGCATCTTAAACCAAAAGCCCTTTGCCTACAAGCTGGTCAAAGATCCACTGTTAACATGCATTTATTTTTTCACTATGAAGTGCCTGTGAATAAATACGTGTGGGTGCTTGGAGTGGCATTTCATGGTTCAATGCTCCTCTGGGAACAAGACTGTGCCTGTCAGGTCAATGTGGCTCTCCTGTGATGTCTCCAAGAAGAAGTAGCCTAATTCCCTGCAGCCTGGCTGCTCCTGCCATGGCACTGCTGAGGGGCAGCCAGCAGGAATCCCTGGATCCTGAGCTGCACCTCACCAGGTGAGGTGAAGGAAGCCTCACCTGGATGTCTACTGTAATTCCACCAGAGAGATTGCATGTGCCATTCCCCGTGGATGGCAAAATAAAGCAAAAGATGCTTCTCTTACCACCTGGACTCTATTTCATAGCAATGTCCCTGCCCCTACATCACTAATCTGTCCTTAAGAAAACACTAACAGTAAAGAAAACACTACCAGTAAAGAAAATGTGGATTAGCTGTTACTTCTGCATGCATGCTGCAGAATAGAAAACTGCACTTGAGTTTGGTCCCTTGCAGGGACACCAGGCTGGGAGATGTAAACTTCGTGAGGAGCTGCTGTTATTTCAACTACAGCTGGAAGCAGTGCAGAGCTTTCAGGCTTTCTGAATAGTCAAACTTCTAAAAATCTGTGGGAGGCTATGACTTTTCAATACCTGATGTAGCTCTAATGATGTAAAGCTGCTCTTCCCTATTGCTATTTGCAATGGTCTGCTTAAAATTAGTCCCTGTGACCAGCCTGGGAACTATCTTTGTTAATCAAGTGATGTGGAAGGGAAGGCTGGATCCACAGATTGTTTTCTGAGCAGATTATGGACCAATTTGTCTCATGTTACACTTTGTCTACTACCTGAGCAATGCAGTTACATGTTTAAATTCTAGTGTTTTAAAGTGCTTAAACTAGTGTTTAAACACTAGTGTTCAGTGTTAGTGTTTAAAGCCTAATAATTATGATGCTAAGACTGTACCAAAACTGACAGCTGTCCCAGCCTTTAAGAGTTTCCCTGGTCTTTGTCCTCAAGAACTAAAATCTCAGACCAGAGCAGGTCAGATGACCATCTGCTCTGGGTTCCAGCAGCCAACAACACAAACTTGAAGGAGGCCAGAAGAGCAAGCATATAATGCTAATCCTTCTCAGAGTGTCTACTTCATTTCCAGTGCTTTGTAATTTCTTGAGAAGCAGCAGCATCATTTTACCTGCAGCTCTCAGTGAATTTGTCTGCCATGCATTTGCCAAGGTGTGTTTAAACCCATGTGAAATCCTGCCACTAATGTCTTACTGGAGCAAGGAAATGCACAGCTTAATACACAATGGCAAAGTGTTGATCTAGTACTCTTGGCACCAGATATTTCTTGCCATTTAGACCTAGCATGGTTCTCAAAGACCTCACATGGCAACAGCCTTACAGACCCAAGGGAGAGGCAAACAGAATTCACTAGTTTGCCATGATTCCATCTTCTTTACATAAATATTTGTCCAAGGAAAACTCTTCAGGGTACAGAATGTCTACACAGATATTTATCTATCAGTGCATCTAAATACAGAATGGCACTAATAACACTGTAGGTGTTACATTAAAAAAAAAAAAGTATTAGAAGTATCTCAAATCTGCATAATTAGAACATCAGTCTGGAATAGCAGTGATTTCATTCAAGTTGTATTTTAATCCTGTGTCATTGTCAAGGAGCTCTAGGAAAAAAAAAAAAAAAAAAGTTATTTTATTCCAGGCTTGACAGAACACTGGATTTTGCTTATTTTGGGTCAGGAAGTGTCCATGAATTCAGTACTTGCATCTGAGTTTTCACCTCCCTTCAAAAATCAGGGATATCTGAATGTACCATGCTCTGTTCCTTTATTACCTTCCCTCTGCACTTACTACTAAGCTACCAATCTTTGTTCATCTACTCTCAATAAAAAAAATAAAAAAATCTCATTCGTCAAAACAAACTGACTTTAGGATAGTTCTTGATCATGGCTGGGATGAACTTTCCACAAACTTTCCAGATAAGTTGCAGTGATGGCAGTAAGGGCTGTTGGGAAAGGGGTACATAGGAAATGGAATAATGTTACCCTCGATGTTTAAAAATAAGAGGGAAAAGGCGTCATTTCCTCAAAATTTCTGCAGCATTTTTGATATGTACCTGTAAAGCATGATCAAACCTCTGTGTTATCCCTTCCAGAATAAAGACAGGGTACTATATAGATTTACACTATAAACTGAATGTTTTGAGCTGTGACTGGTGCCTAGGTATCCCATTTTCCCCTAGAGTCTATGATTCTCTAACATAACATAAAAGTACAACAGTATTAACTGCAAGGCAACTGCTCTGAGGTTTGGCATTTTCTGCACTTGTTTCTTGGTCCAGTTAAA